GGGGCCCCTGGGCCCGCCCGGCGGCGCGCGGCCGGCGGGGCCGCCGGGGCCGATTGGGGCGCCGCCGCCGATAATGGCCAACGGCCCGCCTTCAGGTGCGCTGAGCAGGGGGCGTTGCGATGGGGACGCCCGCTGTTTTTTATAATGTTCCAGATCTGACTAGTTGGCGTGGCCGGCGTGCAGGCCAGGTTCAGTTTCAGCAACCATAGGCGCAGCATGACGGCGGGTGGCGCGGGTGCCGTGACGGGGTTGGACTCTGCAGCAAGCACCCCTGCAGGGGCAGGGGCAGGCAGGGCGTGCTGGGTGCTAGAATGGGCAGCAGGCGGCAGCCCGCATTCCGAGCGGCGGAGCGGCTGTGCTGATGAGGCGTTCGCATGCAGTCTGTGCTGACGCCTCCCATCGCACGAATGCGCGCGCCGATCCAGCGCCATGTGCGCCTCACCACGTTGCGTCTCTCTCGTGACCGCGCCCGCAATGCAGGCGGCGGCCCCGGCCGCGGCCCTGTGCCGGGCTTCATGCCCCCCGGGCCGCCCGGCATGCCGGGGATGGCGCGCCCCATGGGGCCACCAAGCGGCTCCTACCCGGCCCCGCCCGGCGCCGGCGGCCCGCCCGGCCCGCCGGGTCCGCCGGGCCCGCCCGGCGCGCCGCCCGGCCCCTACGGCGCCGCCCCACCGCGCCCAGGCTTCCCCGGCGCGCCGCCACCGCTGCCGCCGCCGGCGCCCGGGCTCGGCCCGCACGCGCACCACGCGCACGGCCCCCACACCGGCGGCGCGCCGGTGCCCGGCGGGCCGCCGCGGCCGCAGGGCATGCAGTCGCGCATCGACCCCAGCCAAATCCCGCGGCCGGTCGCGGCGCGGCACGGGCCGGAGCCGATCGTGTTCCACACGCGCTTCAACGGGGCCCACCAGAGCCCGCCGCCATCCACGTCCCGCTTCATCGTGAGGCGCTGCGGAGGGGGGGCGGTCTGGTTGCGGATCGAGCAGTTTCTGCTGGCAGGGCATGCCCTGGGGCTGGCTGGCCCCTGGGGGCCGTACAGGACACCGGAGAGCCGCCTTGGTTCACCTCCTCTGTTTGCCTCCCAATGCTTGTCTTTCAAGAGTGCGTGCCCGGGTCTCATTCACCCATCCTGTGCTTCTCTTCCTCGGGTAGTCCCGCCCCCGCCTTGCCTTCCCTCCACTCGCGACAAACTAAAAGCGAAAACCGGTGACGCCGCGTCCAGGTGCGCGACTGTGGCAACGCGAGCCCGCGGCTCCTGCGGTCCACGCTCAACGCGGTGCCCTTCACGCCCGAGCTGCTGGGCAGCAGCGGCATGGCCTTTGGGCTCGTGGTGCAGCCGCTGGCGCTGCCTGACCCTTCGGACGACCCAGTGGCGGTGAGCGGGCGGGACGACAGCCGTATGTGGTGTGCGTGTGTGTGTGTGTGTGTGCGCGCGTGTGCGTGTGCGTGTCTGTGTATGTGGGTCGGAGAGGGTGGTTGGGGTTGTATTTGGCTGTCCTGAACCCTCTCGCACCCAACAGAGGGTTGAGAGGACGGCGGTGATTTGGAAGAGAGGTTATTGAAGGCAGGGGCGCGTCGTACGCCTGGGTTGGTCTGCTTAGAGACTGGCGCGTGGAGTGGGGCCGCAGCCTGTGCTGCTGTATGATCCTGGGGACGCCCCTGTGGCAGGGAGCAGCAATGCGTATGGCGTCGGTTTCCGGCAGCTGCAGTGAGTCGAAAGCATCGACGTGACAGAATCGCAAGGGCTCAGCACCGTGTCCACGTGTGACGCTGTGCGTCGGCGGTTGGTTCACGCTGTTGGGGACATGGATGGGGCGCCTCACCGCGGGACTCTGTGTGTGTGCGCGCTTCTCTGCTGTAGGTAGCCCGGCCCCTCCTCATTTGCTCAGTGTGGTGGCCGTCCCTCGATCCTCGCCCTCAGCGGTGCCAAATCAACCGGGCCCCCACGCCTAGATCCCTAATTTTGCACACACAGACACGCGCGCGCGTGCATGGTCAATTACACACTATTTCCTTGCACCCAGAGTTCTGCACGCACCCGTGCCACGAGAAACGACGCCAACTCCTACTCTCTGCCAACTGCCCCGCTCCCGGCCTCCATCCGCTCCCAACCGCCCCCAACCGCTCCCAACCGCCACGCCCGGCCCTTTTCACAGGTGGTCGACCTGGGTGAGCTGGGCCCCATCCGCTGCGGCCGCTGCAAGGCATACGTCAACGCCTACTGCCGCTGGCTGGACGGCGGGAAGGCCTTCGGCTGCAACTTCTGCGGTGCGACCACGCCCTGCCCGGAGCCCTACTTCTGGTGCGGGGGCCCCTGCTTGCTTGGCTCACACATTTAGGGCTTAGGGTTTCCTAATCTGGAGTTTAGGGTGGAGCAAAATCAATAAGACGCAGTGGCACGTGGTTGTGTCGTGATTTAGCGGGGCGGTTGGGGCTGCGGCGCAACCACGCCCTACCCAGGGCCGTACTTCTGGTGCGGCTTGACAATGACCACTGGTGGCTTGGTTTGGCAGTGGGGTAGGGGTGTATGGGCGGCGTGGTTAGGCCGTGAGGTTGCGGGAGGTCGGGGCGGCAGCGCGGCCAATGCCTGCCTGGGCCCGCTAAGCCTGGTGGCAGGGAGGGGTGGGGGGCTGGAGGGCCCGCCTGGTCGCGCGTTCACACCTCAGCGGGTGTGAGCAGCGTCAATCATCAGCCACGATATAGTAAGATTTCGGCTTGCAAGTCTCGGTTGCGTCAGCTGCATGGGCCTCTTATGTATTCCGGTCTGGCCTTGATTCGATTCTGGGATTTCAACTTGACACCGCACACTCCTGCGCAGCTACCTCGGGCCTGACGGGCGGCGGCGCGATGCGGACGAGCGGCCGGAGCTCAGCAGGTGGGAGCCGCGACGGCAGCGGGTGCTGGACGCGGCGAACGTCTGGGCCTAGTGCGGTTATGCAGCCGCGGAGATGGCAGCACAGATGGGGGCTTTGTAAAACTGGCACCACCCTCGGGGTACAGCGGAACTCTGGAGGGTGGCAATAAGACAATCGCCTCCTCAGCAATCCGACGACCTCTTGTGCTGGGAAGTGCACCTACACAAACACACCAACATGTGCGTGCACACGCAAAAACACACACACTCTCTCTCCTACCCACACACTGTACCAAACAAACACACACACTCCGCCCTCACAGAGGCACCTATGAGATCGTGGCTACGCGCGACTACATGGTGCGGCCCCCAATGCCCGTGACCCACGTGTTCCTCATCGACGTGTCCATGGCGGCGCTGGGCAGCGGCGCCACCGCCGCGGCCTGCCAGTGCATAGAGCAGGTGCGGCGGCGCGCCGGGGCGGTCTTGTGGGGACATGCGGGCGCGCCGGAGGGAGTTGCTGGGCGAGGCGGGCGGCCTTGCCCGCCTGCGGCGTGATGGCACCGTGCAGCCTGCCAGCACTTGCATTGAACCCGTTCTCCCCTCTACACACTTCCACACACAGGCACACACACATTCTCTCCCCCCTCTCGCTCTCTTTTAAGCACACACTCCAACACACATGCACACACACGCACACCCTGTCTCTCTTTACTTGACCCCCCCCCCCTAAAAGGTCTTGGACAGCATCCAGGGCGGCGACAACGCGCTGGTGGGTGTGGCCACCTTTGACAGCGCGGTGCACTTCTACCAGGTGGCGGCGGGGCAGCAGCAGCCGGCGATGATGGTCATGGCTGACACGCAGGACGTGTGAGTGGCGGCCGGGGGTCTGCTCGTATGAAATGTGTATTTTGATTATACATAATAAGAGAACCTATGTATCATGTATGAGTATCGATTACCGTATATCAAACTTTGTGTGCCCTGGCCTTGTGAGATCCGTTGCTGTTTGTTCATACCCCCATGCACCCCAGAGAATGCCCGCTCTTTTACTCCCATGCTTACATACGCGCGCTCATTATGCATTACCTGCCGCCGCAGCTACTCGCCCCTGCCGGCCGCGATGCTGACTAAGCTGGCCGACTGCAAGGAGCAGCTGGTGGACCTCCTGCACAGGTGAGGGCGTGTGTGTGTGTGTTGTGTGTGTGTGTGTGTGTGTGTGTGTGTGTGTGTGTGTGTGTGTGTGTGTGTGTGCGCGCGTGCATGCGTGTGGGATTGTGCCGAGTTTTGCGCACGTTGTGGGCGTGAAATTCTTTTTGGGGGGTCTTGTTCTGGGAAATTATGGTTGCTTGCCAGGAGTTGCTCGATTTGCCCTTGGACCGCGCACACTCGGAGGTGCATGGAGGGATCAGTGAAGGTTGAGGCGCGGCAGCGCGTTTGGTCCCTCTGGCTTGCTGTGGCGGACCGCAGCATTCAGACTGCGAGACTGTCCCGGCGTGCCCTGCCCATGGTGGACGTTATCACGGGTTCCGCTACACCAGCCACTGTTTTGCTCAGCAACGGCTTCACAGCGGCGCATTACTACCGGCCAGTCCCCCTCCCCCTCCCCAAGCCGCGTCTCATCACCCATCCCCCGCTCCGACTCACCCCTCACCCCTCGCCCGCCGCAGCATCCCCTCGATGTTCTTAAATTCCACTCACGGCCCAGAGAGCTGCGGCTCGGCGGCGATCGAGGTGCGCGCCGCGCGTGCCGTGAAGCCGGCACCCTCCCCCTGGCCCGCGGCTCCTACCCTGCCGCCCGTCCGCAAGCCGCCACCCCGCTTCTCAGCAAGGTCGACTCTCACTCACTCAAGACAACCGCCTTGCGACGTACCTCCCCAATGCCCCCTCCATCATCATCATGTGCCAGGCGTGCATTGAGCTGCTCAAGCCCGTCGGCGGCAGGATTCACGCGTTCCTCGCGCAGCTGCCAAACTCGGGTGGGCCCCCCGCCTTGAACGCACGATGCGCCCCGGGTCCCGTTCCGCAGGGGCTGCCGCTTGCGGCAGCCGGGCACAACCTCGTTTCGGCACGGGCGGCTAGCCGCACGCGCCAAGGGGCTTCGGCACTGCCCGCAGACAGCTTGCTTGCGGATTCGGAATGCATCCCCGCCCACGCTAGCCGCTTCCCTGCCCGTGCCCGTGCAACCCTCCTGCACCCGCTCACCTCGCCGCACGCTGGCGTGCCAAAACCCCGCTGCGCCCGCAGGCGTGCGCAGCCTCAAGATCCGGGACCACATCTCAATGGTCAATGAGAAGGACAAGCAGCTGCACCTGGTGCCACAGGTGAACGTTTGGCTAGTGGCGAATTCAATAAAATTCTAAAGCCAAAAACCCACAATTGGAGGACAAATTGGGGTTTCCCACGGTGTTTGGGAGATGGTTATCCTGCTTGTCCTTTTTGAACACTCACTCGAAGCAGCGTGGCCTTTGGGCTGGGCTTCGCGGGCAGTTGCTTTGGACGTTGATAGTCAGGGCAGGGCTGCGTGCATGCACGCAACGCACCAGCCCCGGCCGCGTCGCGCTCGTGTAGATTCAAGTAAAGTCGTTCCTGCCGCCGCTGGTCGTTGCTTGGGTTTACAAATGCACCCGCAATCGGCGTTGTTGCACAACCCACAGGACAATACCTACTACACCGTGGCAGCCCTGGCGGCGGACTTCCAAGTGAGCGGCTGTGTTGCGTGCGTGCGCATTTGCGTGCGTGTGGGTGTCGCGCCACCCAACAAATTACCGCGGCCTGCTTACGAGTGAGGCAGTCCATCTGCCCTTCTCGCTTCGATGCCACATCCATGCAATTCATATGTGATCTTCATTACCCGGCTCGGCTGCACCGCAGCAATCAAATTTCCACCATCTTGACCAACAGCACCATCAACAACCTCTCCACCACTGACGAAAGCATCATCAACACAAACCCCCAACCTTCGGCAGGTGTCTGTCGACCTGTTCCTGCTGGTGCAGTCCTATGCTGACGTGGCCACGCTGGGCGTGCTGCCGTCCACCACTGGGGGCAGCGTGTACCACTACTGCCCCTTCAGCCCGCCCCTGGACCAGGACCAGCTGCTCAACGACCTCAAGTGGAACGTCAGCAGGCCGCAGGTGCGGTTGACTGGCTTTGACCGGCTTTGACCGACTTTGACACGCTTTGACTGGGTTTGGCGCCGGCGCACTCGCCGGCTTGCGGACTCTTTGTTGGTTTTGGCGCGTGGCAAGGCAGCTGGGCGGGCAGTGCGTTGGCGCTGGCACAGTCACCACCCTTGCAGTTGCTAGTATGTGCTTGTGGCAGGCAGCTGGGTGGGGGTAGTGTGAGGCGTTAATTCCGTGCGACTGTGAAGGTTCTTTTAATTTGTGTACATCGGCTTTGAACTTTGTGTATCCACACATGAGTGTGTGTGTGAGCAATTGTGTGTATGTGCGTGCGTGCGAGTGTGCGTGCATACACGCATACGTGCGTGCATGTATTTTTATGCTGCATGGCACATGTACACGCTCCGCGCCGCGCCTTTCGA